GGAGGAATATTTTAATGGCTTTTTCAGATAACTGGTGATACTCTTCTTTGATTCTACATCAGAACTCCACAAATGGTAGTTTCTTAAAAGTTAGTTGCAATGTATACTGAATCATATCAACAAACTTTTTGTCATCCGTGAACAAGGCAATGTATTGGTCTATCTTGCCCTTTGAATCTTTTACCTCTATGTAATTTTGAAACATCATGCTTTCCTCATTTGGAAAATATTGGTTCACTGAGATATACAGGTCTTCCAGATATTGACTTTTCATTATAAGATATCAAACAATTGTATTAATTAATGTCACTACCAATCTCATCAGAAAATTCTTTGGATATTGGAAAGCTGTCAAGCTCATGCTGGCAGATACAGATTTTCCAAACATTTTAATCTTTTCTTGGAAGTTCAAATTTTAATCATGGCAGCAAAATCCCATCATTGGTTTTACTTGAAGTGACAGGATCGCTTTATTTCCATAGTGACTTTTTGAGAAAAAAGTCTGCCAGATACCCAAGTCTCTGAAAAGCCATAGTTTGTCAGTCATTTTTTCAAGTGATAATGATGATCCAAAAAACAGCTCAGCTCACAGCTCAAACAATGGCATTGGGTCTTTTTCTGAAGACAACCACTCTACTCCAGTTTGCAGCAGAGATATTTCATGTGTATTTCCCATTCCGATACACAGATTATTAAAAGGATGTGTACTGGGCTTCCCTGGTGGCGTAGCGGTTAAGAATCCGTCTGCCAATGCAGGGAACACGGGTTCGAGCCCTGGTCCGGGAAGAGCCCTCGAGCCGCAACTACTGAGCCCATGTGCTACAACTACTGAAGCCCGCGTGCCTAGAGCCCATGCTCCACAACAAGAGAAGCCACCGCAATGAGAAGCCCACTCACTGCAACAAAGAGTAGCCCCCGCTTGCCACAACTAGAGAAAGCCCGTGTCCAGCAACAAAGACTTAATGCAGCCAAAAATAATAAGAATTTTAAAATTTATTTAAAAAAATATAATAAAAAAATAAAGTGAAATTGGCTTTTTTTTTTTTTACGCTGAATGCGTAGCTGTGAAAGATATGACTCCTATGATAGTTTGGCACCCCTGCCTTGACTGGTGCTAAGGAGCCAGCAGTTTTGCTCACCCTTTTGTAATGTCGGTGCAAATGTCAGTCAACTCAGTGAAGAAGACAAATAATGTCTTGGTATTATTATGATGATCATTTTGACCTCATGGATTCCCTGAAAGTTTTCAGAGATAGACCTCCTCTCTCATCCCTCATTTACATGGACCACCCTTTGAGAGTTACTGTCTTACACCTATGGGATCAGATGGCAGGGTCACCTTTAGGAGTGGAAAAGATCCCAGCTGAGTAGAAGCTAGCAATTTGCTGCTGAGGAAGCAGAATAAAAGTATGTAATTCAAATCAACTATGTAATTCACAATGCAACTTGAGGGTGAGTTTTTTGTTTTTAAAGGAATCGCAATGATTTCTTGGAATAATTGAACCTACATTTATTTAATTAACATAGACAAACCACTACCATATACTAAATAGAACAAAGAACAAAATTTTTCTCAATCAAGAGAAAAATTCTAATTACAGCCAGTCGTTTCTTTAAACTCACCTGTAAGTATCTATAGACTTCTTCAAGTGTTTCCACTGTTCTGGGGCTCCCTAAGGGGTGGGTGTAATTAACAAGGCTTATTACCCATTCCTTTTATTTATTGATTCATGGTGCTGGGAATAGTGTTGATTAGGCAGACAAGGTCCTTGATCTGCCAGTGCTCACAGTCAAGTGGGAGAGTGTGAAACGATCATACAAACATGAATACGATTACAATTGTGCTAAGATTTAAGAAGAAGTATAGGGAGCTTTGAGATGGGACTTGACCTGACCTGGAGGTCATTGAAGACCTCCCTGAAGAAGTGAAATTCAGCTAAGGTCTGAAACATGAGTTGGAGTTGGCCAGGTGGCAGTGGGGTGTGGATAGGGAAGCATGTTCAAGGCAGTGGCATGGTATGTGTGCAGGCTGAAGCAGGAGAGTTCTGGGTGAGTTTGAAGACCCACCTGGGAAGTCCATTTTGGCTGGAACCTGGTGAGAAGGTGGCATGAGATGAGGGTGGAGTGGCAGCCAGAGGTCAGGGCAAGGGCCATCAGGTGGCCTTTTTTCCAGTTCCTGGAACCTACCAATCTCTTTCCTGCCATAGTGCTAGACTCATGCAGATCCCTCTGCCTGGAACTCTCTTCCTAGGCTCTTCTTTCAGGCCTCAATGGAAATGTCACCTCCTTTCAAACTAGATATCTTGGGACTTCCCTGGTGGCGCAGTGGTTAAGAATCTGCCTGCCAATGCAGGGTACACGGGTTTGATCCCTGGTCGGGGAAGATCCCACATGCCACAAAGCAACTAAGCCCATGTGCCACAACTACTGACCCTGCGCTCGAGAGCCTGTGAGCCGCAATTACCGAGCCCATGTGCTGCAACTACTGAAGCCCACGTGCCTACAGCCCGTACTCCACAACAAGAGTAGCCACTGCAATGAGAAGCCCGCTCACTGCAAAGAAGAGTAGCCCCTGCTCGCCACAACTAGAGAAAGCCCGTGTGCAGCAACAAAGACCCAATGCAGCCAAAAATAAATAATAAATAAATAAATAAATAATTTATATTAAAAAAGTAGATCTCTGTTTTCTTCTCCCTGTCAGCACCCTATTTTCTTTGTATAGCAGCTATGTTTGTTTACACTGCTTTTGTCTATCGCCCCCACGAGACTCTAAGTTCCCTGAAGGCAGGGTCCTGTCGGTCATGTTCACCCTGCCTCTCCTGTGTTTGGCAGTGAGCCTGACACGCAGTTGGTGCTCAGAAATATTTTTGGTTGAATGTATGAATGAACATATGAAGACAGAGCTAGATTTGAGATCCTGGCTCCATCCCTTAATGCTGTGTGACCTTGGACAAGTCACATAACCACCCTATACTCCGTTTCCTATTCTGTAAAATGGGGATCTTACTTCCTATCTCAAAGGGCTTTCGCGAGACTCAAAGGTAGTGCGTGTGGAAGCACTGAGCAGGGTGCCTGGCTCCAAAAGAGATGCTCTTAAGTGTTAATTGTCTTCCTTGCTTCTCACTGCCTATTCCCTGCTCTTTTCACTCTACTATGATATATGATGAGCCTTGGGCCTTGCTTAATCCCGAGTCTCTTGCCATCCCATCCCCCTCAGCTGCAACACAAACATAAGAGGGGCTTCCAGGCTCACGTGATGGCAACACAGTGGGAGGGACAAGAGGGGAGGGAGGAACTGGTTTTTCTGGACAGTGGATGGGGACAAAGAACTGTTGAAAATGAACCAGACTTTGGGTAGTGCGATTATGGCTACTTTTAATCTTCTTTCATATATAGTTGAATCTTGAACAACACAGGAATTAGGGGCGCCACCCTCCCCACAGTTGAAAATCTTCTTATAACTTTACAGTTGTCTCTCCTTCTGTGGGGTCCGTATCTGTGGATTCATCCAACCATGCGTCGTGTAGTATTGTATTTTTGTATTGTATTGTATTGTATTAATCAAAAAAAAAATCCATGTATAAGTGGACCCACACAGTTCAAACCTGTGTTGTTCAAGGGTCAACTGTACTTAAAACAAACACCTTTTTGTTTTGAAATAATATTAGGCCTTCAAAAAAGTTGCAAAATAGTACGAAGAGTTCATTATATGCCCTTTACCCAACATTCTCAATTTATAAAACAATAGTACAATGATCAAAACCAGGAAATGAACATGTTTACAGTATTATCTAAATTATAGACCTTATTTGAACTTCACCAGTTTTCCCCTAACAATATTTCTGTTCCCGGGTACAATCCAGCATCCCACTTTGCACTTAGTTGTCCTATGTCTCCTTTATATCCTCTGATCTATGATAGTTCCTCAGTCTCCTTGTCTTTCGTGACCTTGACACTATTGATCAGTCATTTGGTAGAATGTTGCACAATTTGGCTTTGTCTGATGTTTTCTCATGGCTAAATTGAGATTATGCATTTTTGGCAAGAATACCACAGAAGTGGTGTTGTGTCGTTGTCAGTACATCGTACCAGGGGTACATGATGTTGACATGTCTTACTAATGATGATGCTACTCTTGTTTACTTGGTTAAAGTATTGTCTGTTGGGCTTCTCCATTGTATACTTTTCTTTTAAAATTATACTTAAAAATTTTTAATTACTAAAGCAATGCACACTCCTAAAAAGTTTAAACAAACAAAAAAAAATGTAAAGTAATTATACTTCCCACCAAGCCCACCTCACCTTTCCAGAGGTTTCACCACTGTCATCGCTTTGAGGGGTAACCTTCTAGATCATTTTCTATATCATATACAAGTACATAACGGGGTCATACCAACTTTTTTGTTTTGTTTTGTTTTACTGAACAATATTATCCAGGGACAACTTTACATGGCAGTACAATCAGATCTAACTCATTCTTTCTAATATATAGCTACTATTTCATTCTCTGGGTGACTCTAATATACATCTGTGTACTTTCTAGATTGTGTATGGGCATGTGAATTATTTTTTAACATAAGGCATTTTACCATCAAAATTTTTATCTCAAATTTCATCACTAGACCAATATTCAAATTTTGTCAGAAATTAAAAACCATAGAATTTAAATTAAAAAAAAATTTAATTTCCATCTGTTTCATCACCAGGAATAGATTATCTAAAACTCTAAGTCAAAACAAGCTAAAGAATAAAAAAGTATATTTTTAAATGGAACAAGAGAAAAGAAACTGAACTGCCACTGATTTTATTGAATGTCAGAGGCCATTCATTTAAAAAACACACCATTATTTTATGTAGGAAGAAAAAAAATGCCAATTAATTGGAAAATGCCACCAATTTTAGAGTGTTTAAAATGTGCAAAATGGGAGTCTTGGAACTGAGTAAATCAGATAGTCCCTTGTTAGCCCTTCATTAACCGGAATCTCTGTGTGGTCTTCCAGGCACAGGTAGGATCCTATGACCAGCTGCCCACTCCAGCCCACCGTGATGGAGGCAAATGATTCCTCTCGTGTGGATTCTGAGTTCCGATACACCCTCTTCCCAATTTTTTACAGCATCATCTTTGTGTTGGGGGTCCTCGCCAACAGCTATGTGCTGTGGGTCTTTGCCCACCTGTACCCTTCCAAGAAATTCAACGAGATAAAGATCTTCATGGTGAACCTCACCATGGCTGACCTGCTCTTCCTGGTCACCCTGCCCCTGTGGATCCTCTACTACTACAACGAGGGCAACTGGATTCTTCCTGAATTCCTGTGCAACCTCGCTGGCTGCTTCTTCTTCATTAACACCTACTGCTCAGTGGCCTTTTTGGCCGTCATCACTTATAACCGCTTCCAGGCTGTAACACAGCCCATCAAGACCGTTCAGGTCACCACCCGCAAGCGTGGCATCCTTTTGTCCCTGATCATCTGGGTGGCCATTGTGGCCGCTGCATCCTACTACCTCATCCTGGACTCCACCAACACAGTGCCCAACAAGACGGGCTCAGGCAACATCACACGCTGCTTTGAGCACTACGAGAAGGGCAGTATCCCAGTCCTCGTCATCCACATCTTCCTCGTGTTCAGCTTCTTCCTCATCTTCCTCGTCATCCTCTTTTGCAACCTGGTCATCATCGTCACGCTGCTCACGCAGCCGATGCAGATGCAGCGCAATGCAGAGATCAAGTGCCGGGCGCTCTGGATGGTCTGCACGGTGCTGGCTGTGTTCATCATCTGCTTTGTGCCCCACCACATTGTACAGCTGCCCTGGACCCTGGCTGAGCTGGACTTCCAGAAGAGCAACTCCCACCAGGCTATTAACGATGCACATCAGGTCACTCTCTGCCTCCTTAGTACCAACTGTGTCTTAGACCCCATCATCTACTGTTTCCTCACCAAGAAGTTCCGTAAGCACCTAACGGAGAAGTTTTACAGTATGCGCAGCAGCCGGAAATGCTCCCGGCTCACCACGGAGACAGGCACCGAAGTGGTCATGCCGCTCAAACAGGTCCCTGTCAATTCCCTCAAAGATTAGGCCCAGATTGTTTGGAGCCCAGAGGCTTATCCTCCATGGACATCATGGAGGGACCTGGGGGAGGAAGGGGTGTCTGATGCGGCCCTGGCATCTGCTCCCTGGGCACTGGTGGCCCATTAGGTATGGAGGCTACCTCACCAAGGTGTCGATGCTGGGTAGAGCCAGACTGCTGGGAAATCCAGAACTTGAACGAGCCCTTTCAGCCACCTTTGGGCACATGCCATAATAACCTTGGTTGGTAACCTCATCCCGAGCGCCTGAGTCTGACAGCTCTGGAAGGAATGTCAGGGCCAGGGGCAGTCCTTGGGGGTTGACACTGAGCCGCCCAGTTCATCCTACCAGGACAGCAGTCCCAAATGAGTAAGTTCTAAAGTTTTGGGCAACCACTCCCTTTATCACTAAAAAGTCAGAGAAGGGGTTTTGGAAAAGGGACGCTCCCCTCGCTGCGTGGCACCGTCTTTGGGATAGACTTTTAAGCTAGGATGGTGCCGCCCAGTCTCTACCTAAAGGCACAAGGTCTTTGTGGCACTCTCAGGGGAAGTGGCTTGGTGGAACCCTCTCCCGAGTCATGCAACAACCTGTATTGAGTGATGATCAGAGAAGATAAAACATGCATAGACCGAAAGCTAGGATGGGGAGCCTGTCTCCTGGGGCAGATGTGTGTTTCCGCACAGGCCTCACCTCAGGCCTGGGGCAGCTCTGGGGCAGCGGGAGAGACACAACACCCACATCCACCTTCTGTCTCAACAAGGGACCCTGAAGAAGTAACTCCTGCAGCACAGCCACCCACTGTGGGTGGGCAAAGTCCCCTCAAAGCCAAATTGGGGCCCTCCAGGCCACTGCGATGCCCAGAGGCTTCCGTGGGAAAGGGCAGTTAGGCTGAGAAGTACCTGCAGGAAGGCCTCCAGAGTGGAAGGAGTCCGTAGCTCCCCTCCCCACCTCACCTTCTGAGAGGCCCCTCTGACTTAGCTGCCACGAGCTGAGAAGAGCAACTAGAATCCCAAGGGCAGGCAGGCACTTTGAGTTCTGGGTGCAGAAGAGAGGTGAAAACTTCTCTTGAGGAGTTCTAGATGCCCGAGCCTCCTCTCGCACCCTGAGCACCTGCAGTGTGAACCTGACAGCCTCAGACCCAGGGGCTAGGAGGAGCCTTCCCTGGTTTCCAGAAATCGTCTTCCCTTCCAGCCAGTGACCCCACAAAGCTGGGATCCTCGTTTCCCGCATACTGGGCTGATTTTGATAAATGCCTCCCAATGGGCCAGAGACCTGCTTGGGTCTGGGGTGGCAGTTGTGGGCTGGACTTAGCAGGTGGTGACTAGGTGGATAGTGCAGCGGACTTGAACTTCGGGGTCACACAGACCCAGGTTCAAGCTGTGGCTTTGTCACTTCCTGCCCAGGGCCTGTGAACTGAGTTTCCTACCTCATAGAGTTATGAGGAGCAGATACCTCTAGGTCAGGCTGACTGCTCATCCCAGATTCTCCCGTCTTCTGAGAATTTGTTCCCCCGACCCTCCGATAGGCGCTGACGGGATGAGAGGTGAGCGTCTGTCTCTAGTGGGGCCAGTCAGGTTCTCGCTTGGGAATAAGCAGCAAGATTCAGGGATGCTCTTTCAGGCTCTGCAGGCCACTTACCGGAACACATTTAAACTCTGGAGCTGTGTGTGTGTGTGTCTGCATGTGTCTGTGAGGTGTGTGTGTCTGCATGTCTGTGTGTGAGGTGTGTGTGTGAGGTGTGTGTGTCTGCATGTGTATGTGTGTGAGGTGTGTGTGTGTCTGCATGTATGTGTGAGTGTGTGTGTGAGGTGTGTGTCTGCATGTCTGTGTGTGAGGTGTGTGTGTGTGTCTGCATGTATGTGTGAGTGTGTGTGTGTCTGCATGTTTGTGTGTGAGGTGTGTGTGTGTGTGTGTTTGTGTGTGAGGTGTGTGTGCGCGTATGTGTGAGGTGTGTGTCTGCGTGTATGTGTGAGTGTGTGTGTGTGTGAGAGGTGTGCGTGTGTATGTGTGTGAGGTGTGTGAGTGTGGCCAGCGGGCCAGGGTTGAGGGAGGCACCTGCATGAATGTAGTAGAGAAAACGGCTCTGCTCAGAGAGAAGACAGAGGTGTGCAGAGCAAGGCAGAGACCGGGGGGACCGCAGGGGCCTGGAGAGAGGAGGGGCCGTGCTTCCAGCGGCCTGCTGGCTCCCTTCCTCCAGGCCCAGCCCTTCTCGAAGCTCAATATCTGCGCTGCTTCCTTCGGGTCCTTGTGAGACTCCCTTTTAGGATACATTCTCTTATTTTGCTTAAGCTGATTTGAGTGATTATCTATTACTTGCAACCGAAAGAGTTCTGAATGAGATAAATGCTTGTATGCTAAAGCACAGTGTTTCTTGAATTTCAGCCGTTTGTGTACTCCCCTCGTAAATTTTGCAATATCCATGTACCATCTGTATGTTTACTCAAGAAATATATTTCTCTAAATCGAGTCACTTTTTAAAACTTTCACCTGTTTAAAAGAATGCTTTAGAACTAAATTGTAAATGAAAACAAATGCCACCTGCCACACATAGAAGGTAAAAATAAACACAAAACACAAATATTAAAATCAAGGGACTTCCCTGGTGGCGCAGTGGTTAAGAATCCGCCTGCCAATGCAGGCGACACAGGTTCAAGCCCTGGTCCGGGAAGATCTCACATGCTGCAGAGCATGCGTCACAACTACTGAGCCTGCGCTCTAGAGCCCACGTGCCACAACTACTGAGCCCGCAAGCCACAATTACTGAAGCCCGCGCACCTAGAACCCATGCTCCGCAACAAGAGAAGCCACTGCAATGAGAAGCCCGTGTACTGCAACAAAGAGTAACCTCTGCTCGCCGCAAGTAGAGAAAGCCCGCGTGCAGCAATGAAGACCCAATGCAGCCAAAAATAAATAAATAAAATAAAATAAATAAATTTATTTTAAAAAAAAAGAAAATCAAAATGCTCTTGGTGTCCTGTTTACAGTCACCTCATATGCCCCACAAGTTGCATAGCACACTTTAGGAAACATTGCTATGTATATAAAGTACACAGGGTCTGCATTCAGTAAGTGCTCAATAAAGAGACAGGCAGTTCCGAGATGGTATCTTGTGATTGCCCCCTTGCTTCTCTCAGAATGTTGCTCCAACACACAAGCCAGGGTCTCACTCCCATCCAGGCCCAGGGGAGGTGGTAATTTTAGGTTGTAGCTCATGCTACGGCTCTGATGATTGCCTCACCACTCTGAATACAACCACCTTTACTGCCCCTGTGACCTCTGCCTGGTTGTGACCTTCTCAGATGCTTTCTCTTCTTTTTGACCCAGCCCAGAACACCTCTTCGAGGCAGCCTTCCTGAATTCCTCTAGACAGGTTAATTGACCTAGCAGCATTTTAGGTCTGGGAGGGTGCAACTTTTTTATACCCTAATAACTGTTGAAGTTTATCCATTTCAATGTATTCTTTCCTACCCTGGGGGCAGGAACTGAATCTTTCTTTGTTTTAATCGAAGTATAGTTGCAGGAAATGAATCATAATCAGTGTATCCACATTTCTCATGTGACGCCTAGAAATGAGCTGTCTATCTCCAAAGCTTCCTGCTTCCCCAGGGTGCAGCATAAGCACACATTGACGTATACATGCACTTATTGTGAAAGGGTTTAAGAGGACTCTCTACAGACAGACAAGGAAGGAATTTAATATATATTTTTCTGGAGTTCTACATCCATATTTAAAAAAAGATGTCAGGGATTTTCAGAGGATCAGAACCTTTTGAAGCTGGTAGGGTCCAGTTCCTCCATCTTACTAAGAGGAACATGGGGCTCAGAGGGGCCATGTGATTGCAGAAGTTACATAGCGTGGAATGCACTTGTGTCTCTCCCTTCTTGCAACGGTGACAGGATTACCGGAAAAGCTAAGTTATAATTCTTTTAATGAAACATCACCAATCAGGATTTCCAACCCATGTTGGACATCACGAAGTCCTCACCCTGCATTTTCCCCTGATCTCAGCCTTGACCCCAGGCAACCACCAGTGATCTCACTTAGAGAACATTCACTCAGGCAAGACCTGGCCCCTTACCTCATCCAGATGAATCGTAGACACAAGAGTGGTAAGTGTAGGTCACAGCTGACTAGAACTGGGCACATTTATGCCTATTTTTACTCATCTATGCTATATCTATGCTTAAGACCTGAGGCCACAAACAGATATAATAAACCCTCTTGTTAAAACACCTGGTTTTTGTGCAGACTTGGTATTTCTGTAATGCAAATCATGTTTTCCCTATCAGCAAGCCATCCTCCCATCTACCCAGTCATCTATCCATCCATCCATCCATCCATCCATCCATCCATCCATCCATCCATCCACCTGTCCATCTAGGTATCCAACAAATACCTATGGAGTACCTGTTTTGGTCCAGTAACTATGCTAACTACAGTTTTTGTCTACTGCCTCACTGTAACCTCACACCCTCCTTGAAAGTTAAGTGATTCAATCCCCACAGAAACGAATAAAATAAATAAGGACCTGAGTTGACTGAATAAGGCAGTAGATGACTCCCAGGTACTTGGTACAGAAGGAGAGGGCCTACTTTTTGGTGAGCCCCAGATATTTGCTTGCCACTTTCACAAATCTTATCTCACTGAGTCCTCACAACTACTGTACAGAAATGATATTTTTCATGTTCATTTTACAGATGGGGGAATTGAGGCTTAGAGGGCTTCAGTGATTTGTAAGTGTACATGAGCCAGCAAGCAGCAGAATAATATTCAAACCCAGATCTGCCTCAGTAAATATGGGTCCCTTCCCTTCTTTCCTCTCCCTGTTTGACTGTACCCTCACTCAAGCCCTTCTAGGTACTGTCCTAGCTTTGATGTGTGCTGGGGTAGGGGTCTCTTGAGGGGAATAGCAGTTGGTGAAGGGTCTGCCTTGCTGTCTGAGGGCTCCTGTGCTCCCCATGCAGGCCGAAGCCCCAGCAGCAATGACTTTTTTCCAGGCTGAGGCTTCTGTGGTCAGTTAGAGAGGGCACTCCTGCAGTGGATGGTATATGTGAACGCAGTGTTACAAAGAGCTTCTGAAGCCAGAGTGCCATTGTTACTGAAGCTAGAAGGTCACCTGGATCCTGACATTTCTGCAAGAGGAGGGGAAGGGGTGAGTGAATAGTCAACAGCTGCTAAGCACAGACCGTGTGGCAGGCACTGTGAAAGGAACGTCGTGTCCTTTCCTGTGGTTGGAACTGACTCTTTCCTCTGCCTGAATTACTCTTTCCCCCACATATCCCTACGACTCACTCCCTCGCCTCCAAGACCTTTCTCAAATGTCCCCTTCTCAGTGAGACCTGAGACCACCTCATTTAAAACAGAAGCTGAGAGAGTAAAGTGCTTCCCCAAGGCCACACAGCAATCAGCTGGGTCATGTCCAAGGGCCATGCACTTTCCATTCTATCACATTGACTTCCTCTGCAGACATCCTTCATGACATAGGATGTGAAGGCTCATATCTTCCTATTTTCCAGATAAGAAAAACAAGTATCAAGGAGGGAAATGACTTATCCAAGGCCACATAGCAATAACTTGGTAGAACTGAGATGCGTAGATTCTTTTTTTACCTCCATTTTGCAAGACACTTGTCACATCCATTTTTCCATCTGAATGCATGTTATTTCCCTTCATCACCATTCTCCAGTCCCATCCTCCATGGTAGCTCTAGCATGTTCAATATCTTTGGCTTTTATGTACCCTTGGAAAATGTAGTGTTATTTTTCATGCATATTCATTTAAAATTTACATAAAAGGTATGATTTACGTAAATTGGGCTATGGACCTCATTCTGTTTCTCATTTTTTTTCCCACTCAGCATTGCTTTTACGATGTAACCATGTTAAAGTGTGTGCATCTGGTTCATTGATGTAAACATCTGTCTTGTCCTCCATCATGGGCATCTACATTTTACTTACATATTCCCCTGGCAATGGACACTTCGATTGCCTTCAACTCCCTTTTCTACAAATGATGCTGTGAGGAGAGCCTTCCAGATGTTCCCCTATGGACCAGTGTAAGAATTTCCCCGAATGTACACCCAGTGGTGACACTTACACTTAACTGGGTAAAGAGCTGCCGAATCTCTTCTGGAACGGCTGCACCAGGCTATGCTCCCACCCATAATGACATGAGAGTTTCTATTTCCCCGAATCTTCACCCACACTTGATGTTGTCCAACTTTCAAACTGCTGGTAAGTGTAAAGTGAGAACTTGTTTTCAGTTTGAATTTCTGTCAGATTACTAATGGGTTTGTAATCATGTTCTTGTTAGTCATTTGAGTTTGAATGCAGATTAATTCCGACTCCAAAGCCCACAAAGTGTCACACTGTGATCGGTAAAGTAGCCACTGGGTCTGCATGGCCAGGGTTCAATTTCTGGCTCCACCTAGTCTGTGATTTAATCTCTTTGGGCCTCTGTTTCTCCAT